AATTGTTCTATGTGTTTTGTTAACTTGTTTCTAAGTGTAAATGATAGAACTACTATTCACTTGACCTTATATGTGCTTTTAGAATAATGCAATCCTGGCATAAAGTTGGTGTGGGTTTTTTCCTAAACAGCACATGCTAATTGGGGCACTTTTTTTTTCCCTTTGACTTTTTTGCAGAGGCAACTGCTTCTCTTATGCCTCCTGTTAAAACAGGCTCTTGCCTGTCAATGGATGGGCGACGACATGAGAATGAGGAGAGCTGGCACGATGGCTGCAGGGAATGTTACTGTCACAATGGCCGGGAAATGTGTGCCTTGATCACCTGCCCTGTTCCTAACTGTGGCAACCCCACCATACATCCAGGGCAGTGTTGCCCATCATGTCCAGGTAGCATGCTTTCTTCCATATGCTTTGTGATTGGGTTTTATTTCACATGTATTCTGTTTATAATACGTGAAAATCATCTCATACATCATTCAGTAATAGGTATCTATGAGGGTTTCTATGCCCAAATGTAACAAGACAAGTGGCTTTCATTAAGATCTCACGTGAAAAATGGGAACTTCAGTATTTAAAGCATATGCATGTTGTGAGTCCTAACATGTTAATCTTTGACAGATTGAAATCTTTAAACTAGCAAAAGTTTCCAGTCTGTATTAGTTCTAATAGCAAATTCGTACTCATATACAATTTTGTTACCTATAATAACAAATACAATAAGCCATTGCATTTTCTCTTTTTTAATTTGAAATGGAGTTTTATTAAAATATATCTCCTCATCTATGTTTCACATCCCCTCAAAGGAATACACATTTAAACAGATGTCTTAAGTAATTAAACATTATGATTCTGTCTTCTGAGGGAAAACTCCGTGTCACCAGCAGGTGATTTCAGTTTCTCCAGTGGGAAGGCCCAAATACAATGTTGCATTCCAATATAATTTTAATAAGTGTTAATATGAGAACATCTATGAAATTCATTAGACTGTAGGTACAGTAGAAGATAATGCCCTTTAAAATATTGTAGGAATCATTCTGAAGACAAAGTGACAGATAGATTAATTTGTAATACAGTGATATTGTCTGATTTGATTGGAAGTCATGTTACAAGTAGGAACAACAAGGCTCATGATGCTACTGTAAATAGAAAAACAGTAAAACAGCAGTAGCAGGATATAAGTATTTATGAACTGCTTCAAATTCTTCGTAAAGAACAGGAAATCCTAGGGGTAGTATTAGCAGCCAGATCTTCTTTCTGAAAGTGACGGACACATAGGACCTAAGATAACCTAACCCTTTAGATTATTTGGACAAATTGTGATCTCCAGTGCAGTTTGCACCTTATGGTAATTGGAAGAGCCTTGTCCCCGAAAAGATGCAAGACTCCAAAAAATGTGAGTCTCTCTTTCAGCCTTTCTCAGTCTGCACTACTCCCCTGTGTGGAGGCTGGGCACTGTGGTTCCATGGCCAGCCATAGTGTTACTTTTGGCACTGGGTTTCATAAAGCAGTAGCTATTTTCAGTACTAAGTAATTATTTAGTTAATGAGGCCAATCTCTTAATGCTTAGCATCCTAGCAATGACAACTGTTCATGAAATTTTTAGCTGAGATGAAAACAGTAAGTTATGAAAACTAGGGGAACAGTCCTTTGCTCACTTCTCTTCCATTGTCAAGTGTCTGGCTAGACTGATGGGGAATTAAGAAAGCATAAGCTTTTTAAAGGGAACAGTACTGTTTTGTCAGCTTGGAGCACTTTTGCCACAGCAGTATGCAGTGTTCATCTGTATGTATCCCATCAGGTATTGTCATTCTTTGTCCAGCTCCCTACACACACAAACATTCACAGTCTGTCTTAAATAGTACAGTTCTTTCCCCTGTGAAACATCAGTGTGGAAAAAAAACATAAAACAACAAGAAAAATATTCAGTCAGTATTGTTCCAGGAGGAACAGTTACAGAGTATCATATTCCTAAAGTCATGTCTCTTTACAGGGATGTTATTTTCCACTTGTATTACCTGGAACTCAGGGCTGCACAGAACTGTTGGAGTACCTGCAGCAGTCACTCACCTTTTCATAATGATTTGTGTACTATTGTAGGGGATGCTGTACTTCATATGGATGGGCACAAGTTAGCATGTCAATCTTAGATTAATCATAGAATAGTTAATAAACATTCAAGATTCAGAATTTATGTAGGATGGTGGTTCCAGTTCCAGCAGTTCTGTTGTTAGGTTCCTCAAGAATCATTACTGATTCTACTCTACTGTCAGCATATTTGTGTATATTGATTTACCTAACACAGAACACATCAGAGCATTTAAATAAGAGTAATGTCACTAGTTACTTTGTGTATGGAGAATGAATAAATCCATTTGTAAGCCTAATGTTTAGTTTGTGGAAAAAAGATCAGGATGAGATTAGCAGTACCTATTTTCTCACGCTATGCATTTCTTGGGGGTGAGATCAGTGCTTGATTCTGAGCACCAGTATTGTTGGTCTCCTGTGTAAAAGGGTAGTTGCTTACCCAGTAGTGTCCCTTTCATTGAGGTACAGTGTCTGCATAGGTTTCTCTGGTATTTTTCCTGCTTTTGAGGCACAAGTCAACTAGCCTCTGTGTTAGCAAAGTATTACTTAGTGCAAACTCTCACAGTGCTAGGTCAGACACAATTTTTTTGTAAAGTGATTGCATATAGAAGTGTATGAATTAATATGGCCAAATTAGTTCTTGTGTGGTTTTGTTTTCCCACTGAGGTTTTATATTTGTTGGAAAAGTACTTCTGATTTTATTTTGCAATGTATTGATTCCCCACTGATGTTGTTAAATAATAATCATGGCTTTCAGTAGATAGTAATGCAGTTTGGAATTGTGAGACCGTGAGCATGTCACTCAAATGTGTCTGGCATGAGGATATTGAAATAATTAGCAATTCTGATGCACTGAGTTTTGGATTGCACTGTTTAGCCTATCAACAGGGAAATGGCAGCCTCTCAGAGGTCATTTTTCAGTCAAAAAAAAAAAAAGTGGTTACATTCAGTTCCATTTTTAGTTAGTTTTCAACAGAGCAAATTACCTTGACTGCTAGCACACTTGTTATAATAATGTTTCTGTATATTAAGAGCTTTGAGTGAATTGTCACAATGCTTGTGAAAAGCTGCAGGTTTCCTGTGAGATTTAGAAAGCCATTCACTGCTAGCGTTTTGCAGAACTGTGCTATCCAGCAAGCATGTATTTGGCTAGTTGCTTCTTCAGGAATATAGTAGTTGTACATCTGTAGCAATTCAGTTGCAATCATATGTCAATATTAATGCTGCTAAGGGAGCGGTAAACAATACCTTATGTACAGCAGTACTATCTGGCTGCGCTTTCCTGATTATGAACAGCATGTGAGCTGTAGCAAAACAGCTCTGTGACTTTGCAGAGAGCTAAATGCAAAGGAGGTGGCTCAGAAAATAATTAGTGTTGCCTTTGCCACAGTGAGTTAGGATGCTGTTTTGTAAAATGTAACATATTGTTCAGGCCGAAATAAAAAACAAACAGTGACAAGACCTGCTCTCTCACTGCAGGTAAATGCTACTGAATCACATGTGATTCATAACTGTAAGCATTAGGAAAAGCTTAGCATCAGCAAATCAGTGAAAGGTAAAAGAATTCCATCAAAGAAGAAATGTGTGAGTACTCTGTGAATAGAGTAAGATTGGCCAGAGTCAGTTTCTCTGAGTTCTATTGATCATTCTCCAGAAATGAAAGCAAAAAACAGTAACTGATTGCTGTGTCTTCCACGTGGTAGTGTCCTTGAGCAAAGGGCATTCAAGTAGGCTGTGAGGATGCAGTTACTGGCATAACCTTTTCTTGATGGTAAGTGCTTAGACACTTTCAAAGTGCAGGACAGGTTTATTTTTTTCTTTTAGAACACCAGGAGATAAAGCGAGTTGCCCCAGCTTTGGAGGACACTCATGCAGAACAAGGGAAACGTGTTTGGTTCCTTACTTAACTTGAAGGAGGTTAAATCTATTCTCTAAACTGCCTGGGTTAGAGACTGGGTGAGTCTTTTGGCCAGGTGTGTAGGAGTAATGTAATTAATCATTTGAAAAAGAATTAAGGTTCATTTGGTTCGATAGACTCACTGGAAACATGAGTCTACACACTGGATCCAGTTTCTACTTCAAAGTCTGCAGTTATTTATTTATAACAGAACAATACAATTAAGCACTTTTAACAATGTTAAGTGCTTATAGGTTTTTAGGGGTTTGGGTGGGGTTTTTTTTTGTTGTTGTTGTTAGGTTTTTTTTTTCAATCTGGCACCAAATGTTACAGATACATATCACTCAGGAAACTGAAAGGTAGACTGTTGAATCTGGATTTCCTAAATCCCATACTTGCATATACTTATCTGTCCATTCAGAAATTGTGCTGATGCAAATATTTAGCAGTAAAGTGTCCGATCAGTGTGATTTCTCTGAAAATTACAGTTGTCTCTTGGAATTCCTATGTCAAAGGTTGGTCTGATTTATTCTGAAATGCCAAAAAACCTTGAAGTCATCTGATTCATATTAACTAGCATTTATTCAGACTGATTCTCAATTTTTTTCTTGCGAGATGCAGGTGTCAAAGTTGAAAGAGCTTCATGAAGAATGTATTTATAGCTAGTTTTGTTATTCTTCATTTTTTCAGTAGTAACAGAAATGATGAATCTTGGGTACATTTGCTAATCGTTGCAGTCACAACTGATTTTGCCTGTCTTCCAATTCTGTTTTTCCCAGATGAAATAATTGTGCAGAAGCCAGAGCTCACCAGTCCATCAATCTGTCATGCTCCTGGTGGGGAGTACTTTGTAGAAGGAGAGACATGGAATATTGATTCTTGCACACAGTGTACATGCCACAGTGGACGTGTCCTGTGTGAGACTGAAGTCTGTCCACCTCTTCTTTGTCAAAATCCCACCCGCACACAGGACTCCTGCTGCCCACAGTGCCCAGGTATACACTGACAACCAGCTTTCATCAGTTCTGTCTTGATCTGAGTATGTACGGTGGGAATATTGAATGTTTCAGTATGCGTGAGATTGGTTGTTGCCGTGCCTTTGTTCTTTAGCAGTTTGGAGTGAGAGCCTGCAGTCCTCTGTCTCAACTGCAAAACTTGACTGTGTGCAAGAGATACCATACATGTAAAGAGCAGTAGTAGTCCTTAAGTTTGACCATTTTCGAAGGCAGTCTAATACTTTCAGGGTTGCATGAGAACCAAAATCATTGGTTGGAAGGTTTGTGAAATATACAGTGGCCTGTTCATGGAAACATGCAGAATTAGAGAACATTCAAAAGTAGTCAGAGTGCTAGGCATATACAGGCTTGTTTCTTTTCCTTTCTACATGCTTTGGTTTCTGTGAACATTTTTATTTCTATCTTATCTATTTGGGATTTAGTCTAAAAAAATGCTTGTGTTTGCTCCTACATTCACCTGGTATGATTTGAGAGTGACTTGAAGGCAGCTGAGTAATATCAAAGCATTCCAACCCAGCAGGTGTGCCAGATTCCTCCTAGACTGCCTGACAGTATCAAGAAGGTAACAGGATTTGGTTTCCCCTGAGGAAAGAGACGCAGTTATAAATGAACACAAATTCCTGTTTTACATATCAAATGGGGGAGTTAATTGCAGTGGAAATTCTGTGTGAGCTCACTGAGAAAATATTTGTCTTCATTAAAAACAAAATTTTGCCATTTCTTCTACAGGGTATTTGTTGGTGTTTTGGGTGGGTTTTTTTTCTGGCAAAATATTTTCAGTCAGATATATTTTCAGTCAGTTCTTCTGACTTCCATTTTCTCAATTTTAATAACAGTGAACGTTTGTTTAACTTAATAATACTGTTTGCATGAGCGGATCTTTTCTCACTGGCTTGCACAGTTACTGAGAACCTGTGCCCTTATGTATCTTTTTTTTATTCTTGTTTTTTTATATGTTCTCTGCACATACTTTTTGATCTGTAATGTCTCCCAAGTTACAGCTTCACTACAGAAATGTGTCACCCCTATGTGTGGACATGAGAATTAAATCAGACCCACTGGCATCAAGATGAAACCCGATCAAATTCCATTTGTTTCTCTACAGCTTATAATTAGCTCATATAAGTCCACTAGTGAAGGCAAACAGCAGCGTAATAGCTTTTCACTTCGCATCATTCAAGCATTTGAACTGACATGGCAGAAGCTGGGACTCAGGTTTTAGTTTTAAAATTTACTCTCTCTAATTTAAGCTGTATTCCTATATACCGTTCAGTTCAGAGCATTCTGAGGGGCTGCTTCTGATGGCGATGGTTTTTTACTTTGCTGGCCTTCTTATTTTTTTCCTTTTTCCTTTTTTTTTTTTTTTTTAATAAACCCAATAAAGGTCTACATAAATTTTATCCTAGAGCACATCATAAGATCCTCATCACATGTAAGGCCTGAAAAGGCATAATGTTCTGTACCTCTAGCTGTTTGGAAGAAGTGAGCCAATGTGTTACGATTCCATTGTGTTCTTCAAGAGTGAACCTTGTGTTGGCGAGAAATACGAGACAAGTTAGCTACTTAACTTAAATAACTTAATCTGTTTATATTTACAGATCAGCCTGTTCAGCCCTCTTCGTCAAGCAATGAGAGCATGCCCAGTTATTGCAAAAATGATGAAGGTGATATTTTTCTGACAGCAGAGTCCTGGAAGCCCAATGTCTGCACTAGCTGCATTTGCATGGATGGCGTGATTAGATGCTATTCAGAGTCTTGCCCACCAGTATCCTGTGAGAGGCCTGTTTTGAGAAAGGGACAATGTTGTCCTTATTGTATTGGTGAGCAAATAAAAATAGTTGCTAATCTGCTGTTACCTTCTTGGGAATAAGAAAGATGTTTTATTTCCAAACTGAAACATATTTTCCCTGTTCTGGGGAGATGCAGTCTGTGCCTTCAGTTGAACTGGAGAGTGAAATCAGCATAGGGAGCTTTGTGGATCATGATTTGTGGATTTTAGGTGGAAGCTCACAAAGATACAATTTCCCTACAGACTTGAGAGTACATCCTCCTGAAACCTTGATAATATACCTTACTAGATGAAAACATTACACAAAAAATGGTTTATGTAAAGGAAGATCTGCCAGATAACACATATGTTATGTCAAAATTTAATAGTATGATGAAAATACTAGTTATGACTGCAGAAGACAGGCTGAAGCATTATGAAATTTCACAGAATGGAGAAGTGTTAATAAGGCATCTAAAATAAAATACAGGAAAAAAGAGAAAGGTCACCAAAGATAGTTATAGAAACGAGGCAAAATTATATATTTGAGAAAAAATTAGGTTGCTGGGGGGTTTTCTAATGGTAAAAATGCATAAAGAATTAAGGACCATCCACTGGTTTTGAATTTAGAGTTTAAGTAAATGGTGAATGCTGTAGACAGTGAAAATTGCCAGGCATTTTTAAAGTGCAGAATTCGAGATTACTGATCATTTTCTTTTGAATAGGAGTATTTATTTACAGATTAGTCCTTTTTTATGAGTTCACAGTAGGTACAAAGCTTATAGAATGGAAGCTGCTGATAGAGAAAAGTATTATACGACTTACTGAAATTAACTTGTCATGGTTTAACCCCAGCTGGCAACTAAGTACTGTGCAGCCACTCACTCACTCCTCCTGGCCAATACCCAGCCCTTCCCCAAGCACCTTCTGGGTAACTTCCCCCAGTTTATATACTGGGCATGACATGCTATTGTATGGAATTTCCTCTTTGGCTAGTTTGGGTCAGGTGTCCTGTCTCTGCTGCCTCCCAGCTTCCCGTGCCCCTGCTCATGGCAGGGCATGAGAGTCCTTGCTCAGGGTAAGTGCTACTTAGCACTTAGCAACAACTAAAAAGTTAGTATGTTATCAGCATTATTCTCAGACTAAAGCCAAAACACAGCACTGCACCAGCTACTAGGAAGAAAATTAACTCTATCCCAGCCAAAACCAGGATGTAAGTCCTTGTAGCATTTTTGGAAAGCATTCAGAGCTTACTATAACCTTTGTTTCCAAAAGAAGTATGGGGAGATAGAGTAGAAAAGAATTCAGTAAAAAGGCATCTAATAAAATTGACAGGCTTTAAGTATTGTTAAGTGAGCATGTGATTCAGCTTGCCCATTTATAAACAATAGTTAGTCATCAGAAATACGTCAGAAAGGTTGTGAAGTCCAGTCAGATATGTACCATTAATAGAGGTCTTGAAATCTTTAATTTGTTGCAGATACAATATCTTCAGTAATAGGTGATAAAGTTTTATAGAATATACAAGAAAGTCCATCAAATAAATGATTGGAAAAGATAGAAAATATCAAAATTTCAGTTGCCCATGGAATCCTACTTAGATTCCTGATGAGGACATTTTGAGGGGAAAATACTATGTTATCCTATTATTACCTTATTGTTTATGCTCATTATTATTTGCATAAAACATAGGAAGGATTTAAAGACTCTTCGACAATTGTCTTTCAGCAGGCTTTTTTCCCTATGATTCACTTTGCAACCGTACAGATCATTTTAATCCAGCATACATATCAACATTTAAAAAAATGCTGTATGCAGCATTGGGCAATCAAACCAGTAGATTCAGAACATGAGCCATTGTACTGTATGAGAAAATTCTTTATGTGAAGAAAGGGATGCATCACGGGGTCTAGTGCCATGAACTGCAAAAATAAAACCACTAGAACTTGGCGTCTACACCTTCCATGTCAGGTTTGCAAATATATATGCACAACATGTAGATAGGGCTTTAATTAATTTACTTTGGATCCCATATAGTTGCACAGTATTGCAAACAGTTGAATGTGTGAGCTGTAAAAGCATAATGACTTTTTTTAGTAGCAACTGCTCAGCAATATGAAATGCAGAAGCCAGATTTTCATTATTGCTCAGATATGAAGGCTTTGAATGATGATACATTTTATTAATCCAGGTTGCACTACGTTGTCAGAATGTTTTGTGACCTAAATAACTGAAACTCACAGCAACTTAGCTTTTTTACTGTTTTCTGTGACTTATGTACCTCTTGCCTGTAGAAGGAATAAGGTCATGTACTTCATTTTTGTCTTTCAGGTTCTTACTGTTTTACTTTTGAGAAGCACATCTTTGTGCAAATTCTTCCTTACTGTTTTCATGTAATAGTTGATAAAATATAAAGTAGGCAAACGGTGGAAACCAGCCTTCTTCATTTGCTGGGGTTTCAGAAATTACGCAGAGGTTTAGCACTGCATTTGGTTCTGCTTGTTTCTGGAGCCAGAGTGGCTTAATGCCCGACCAGGTAGCATAAATTCAGGTGCAGAATTTTACAGGCTTTGGGAGCTTTGTTACTTGTCTGAATCCTGAAATTCATCCTGTGTGTTCAACATTCTTCTTTCTCATGCAGAGGAAGATTAATTTAGAAAGACAACCTTACACTTCAGAGAGGATAAAGGGAAACCTATTTGATTAGAGACAAGATTAGTCTTCTGCAGAACACAGCAATGACTGCTTGTTTGTTTACAAGATGATATTGATTTACTGGTGCATCTAGAGGAAATCTGAGAGAAGACAGGAAGAGCTAGACGTGATAATCTGAAGCGCACTTTTGTATGTGGGTTTCTTAGCTCCAAGTCTCTCTTGTTTCTGCTTTCCTTGAGCATTTGTTGGTATTGTGGCTTTCACCTTCATCCTGTACTTATACTAGAGATGGACACCAGAATGGGAGATACACACAAGATAATTCTTTCTTAGGACTTAGCAGTTTCTTCTTGAGGTTCAAAGGTGCAGTGCTGCTGTTGTGATTTCACCTGTTTTCATTTTGCTAAAAAAAAATTTACTGTATTAAATTGGGATGTGTTCTTTACAAACTTGGAAAATCCTGAGGAAGTTGAAGGACTCTTCCAACCACACAGGCTGCTGAGTTGAAGCTGTCCTGAGTGGGGCAAGGTAGCAAATCATCCCTGAGTGCACAGAGAGTGCTCAGCTTTAGGCCTGCATAGGTAATAAGCAGTAGAGGACCACTCAGACTGTTTGCCTAACCCTCTCCCAGCCATATGCACTTTGTGACCAACACAGGGCTCCACTGTCTCTGTGTGCCAGCACGCATGTCACCTGTGGAAGAACCAGTGTGCTTCCTGCAGCTTGCAGCCACTTTTTCGTCTCACTCTTCCTTTTCCATGTCCACCGCATATTCACTTACAAAATTGCATACTTGGAGAGGTTGGGGCCATACTTGTAGCCATGGCAATCATGGGATACGCATGCCAAGGACCACTGAAACATTTGTCATTTTCAGATTACAATTAGTATTTTCACTGTAGTACTTCTCGCTGGTCTCGTTTTGCATTTGATTTTCTACTGCATTGGTCTGCTGACTGCTGACCTTGTTATTCTGGATTATGTCAGTCTATTACATTGTCACTAATTAAAAGCTCTACAGACGGCCACATCATTTAATATGGGGTTTTATTTATATTTGAGATGTAATTCTGGCACATTTACGTATGTAATATGTGTGAATAGTAAACCAGTACTTCTCTGACAGCTTAAGAAGTTACTTTGTGATTTCATCCTGTTATCTCATGCATATGCTTAATTTGCAAATTAGTGTCATCAGCAGGTTTCATCATAGTAACTTTTGGCTCTAAGGAAAAAAGGTAGCGAGAAGCTAAGATGAAAATGAGGTGCTGCTTGGCTTTTGGAGGTTCTGCTGTGTAGATTTATTTTGATTATCTATAAAGTGCTATAGCAGCAAAAAACATCCTGCACTCAGCAATTCATGACTGTCTTTTCAGTGAAATAGAAGGTATGCTTCACACCACCTAAAAGGCTTGCATAGGATGCACCGTAAAAATATTGGTATTGAGTGCTTAGGCAGAAAGCGTAGTGCTTCTTTTAAGTGTTTTTCCAAGATGTACTTGGTTTATTAAGTCTAGGTCCCTGTTAAATATACTGTGTCAAAATCTATCTGAAAAGTTGGTTTACAGCTTTCAATCATTGGGAAAGATGTTCTGGAACCTCAGTGTTGTTTTGGGTGTTGTTTTTTTTCCGGAGGGTTAAGATGACACCAATTCCTAATTTATATAATACCATTAAAAAAAGTGTTATTGCCCTTTTCCTGGGGTTTTCCATTGATGGAGTTACAGGGAATGATCAGATCACTTTGAAATCTGTTTTATTGCAATAAATAGAATAAGGACTTCAAGCTATGTCACCTGAGAGCTGCATCATCCTTCTAGGCATCCTGCCTAATCTTTTATTTGAATATTCTGGACTGAGTTCAACTTTCTTGATGAGCCTTGTAGTTAGAAATGTAAGTAGTGTGGTTTGTTTTCTTAGTTAAATAGGATTTACCAGGAAACAGGGAAAAGGAGTAGTTGGCAGTTTCAAACAGTCAAACAAAAAAAAAAAAAAGGTTTTCTTAATTTTCACAGCACTTTTGACATCATTTTCATGTCCCAGCCATGTGTCCTCTAGCTTCTTGCATGAGGAGAAGCAGCCCAGGCTGATTATGTACTTCATAAAGAAA